AATAGATTTTGTTTATTATAGATAATTTGTTAATTATAGATTTTAATATTTATATATATATATATATATATATATATATTTTAAAATAATTAATAATTTTTTATATCTTTAAGATTTATAAACATTATTTTCGTTAAATTTATTTAATAATTAAATTTTGTATTAAAGATGTTTAAATCATGTTGCTACAATTTTTATATTTTAACACTCGATTAGATTGACACAGATTTTCGAAAGAGATATATAATAAAATTTAACGTGCTCTATTGTGACAAACATCAATATTATCTAACAACATATAATGCGTATTAGGAATTTGTTATTTGAGATTTTTTCCATTTAGAAAATACATACCAATTGAATTATACCAAGCACTTTATCAAAAAATTAGTGATCGCTCTTATTCTTTGCTTGTTCTGTAGGAATTGTGACAGTGACTAGTTATTTCACTTTGTACTTCAGGTTTTTATAATTTGACTTATAATCATGTTTAGATGTTTTGACCTCTTACAATTGGTGATTAATAACAATATTAAATTTCTTGAAGTAATATACAATGTATTGTTATGATAAGATACGTATATCATAACATTATATTGAATTTTATATATTATTTTAATATCATATTAAAGATATATCTCCTAATTAGCAAATTTTCTCATAATTGTAATTTACTATTATTAAAACGAAATAACAGGATTATGCTGTCAAATTGCGTTATTTGCCAATATCAAAGTACATTATATCAAACAAGTTTAAACAAATTCTCAATTTTTGCTTTTCTTCTATATAATAAAAGAAATAATCTAAATAATATTGAAAATTTGATTAGATGTAGACTTGAAAACAATTTTGTTGGATCACCAAAATTATTATGTAAAACTCTTAAACATGACGATAATCTGACATGAGGATAGTGTAAAAATTTTTAATATTTTAGCAACTAACTTAATCCTATTTAATTATTTATATGGTTTAACAATATTATTTTCACATTTGTCTCTGACCAAATTTTTAAATATTTCAGCAAAAGTGTTATTTTTGTGTTGCTATATATAAAAAAAAACTTGTGTGCAATTAAAAATTATGCAAGTGTTTTTCAATATTATACATCATAAATATCGTATAAAACGCAAATAAACGTTAATAATTATCAATCACCAATATATTTACATTATTAGTGCCAAAGTTGGATTTTTTAAAGAGAAAGATGAATTCTTAAAAAAATAAATTTAGTTACTTTATGCTTATCTCTCAAATATTTGACTTTATAAATATTTATTAATTACACGTTTCAATAAAAATATTCTAGAATTGAAGATCAAACACTTATTTGTATATGCCGTATTGCGAATAATCATGTTTAAAATCGTCTGTTAGAAACCGCTGTAACAAAATAACTCGGCTGGCTGAAGGGCAATATATTGCGGTTGCCCACATAAAGACTGCAGACAATTTCAGCTTTTATGATCTTTTGACGTGACAAGTGCGAAAATATCGCTTTCTATACCGCACGCGAGTTTTTACACGCGTTATTCGTATAAAGCCTACGTAGACGACGCTACGTACAAGAAAAGATCGGTATAACGCTTTTGCGGTTATCGCGATTATTTTTTCAGGATTCAATCTTTATGCAAATAGAGTTTGAAGAAAAACGGAGAAATTCAATATTTCTTATTACTATGTGGTACTATGTGAAGATATTTAATGCTTACAAAGAGGAGAAAAGAAAAAGAGAAAAAAAGAAAATAGGATCATACAGTCGATTTTATAAGAAGTGTGACTGGCTATCATCTGACAAGGAGATTTTCTTGCCAAATTTGTTCAGATATAAATTTTGTCTGTTATTTATATTGATATATAAAATATACAGAATATCACAGTTATTTATCCATTTTAGCTAATTTTTTGTCTAATCTCGATCATTTTCGCTGTGAGTGTAAGATCATTTTTTTAAAAAAATGATTTAAAAAATTATTTTATCTGATAGCGTGGATAGTAAACAGAAAAATTTATCAGTGGAGAAATCTATTGGATCTCCGATGCACTGCTCAAGTTCTAACGTATTTCGTTCAGATGACGCCACGTAACTATCAAAATATTCAAATTCCGCGTCGTCACTGATAGCTAAATGCACCAATATGCAATTTGAATTACGTTCTTTTTGCTCCTTCATTCATAAGATTTTATATATCCGCTTAAATTTTCGCAATCAACATTAAGTGAAACATTATTAATCATCATGACTCGTTAAACACTTTATCGCAAATACTTCATCGCATATTAAATGAATCGTGAATGTCTAAAATTTGAATATCTCAAACCTACATTCGCTCGGTCGCTATGATAGTTTGGATGACTCCGTTTCCGTTCTTCCGTTCGAAAAAGCGCGACTGTTCCGCGATTTTTGTCTATTAAAAGCGCAATTTTGATCGAGAGTGCCGATAAAAGACGCACGACAATCGGAGCATATTAGTTGTGTCGAGTTCTTATCAATCCTGGTTCATCCGTTGTGATCGATGTTACATCGCGGTTTGAAATATTGCACAGTTCCTGTAAATAAATTCGCGAGAAGTTCGATGTACTTTTGTTACATGTTGCATATTTGCGATTTATAATATATATTATACGTGCTTATTGTATATTAATGGAAAATTCTTCATGGATACGGATTATTGTATCGAAAAATGTGAATGTACGATAGTTTCATCAAGTCAGATTTTGTGTTATCGTTATTAAACGTATACGTATGCAGAATGTAAATATGTAACAATTTTGTTAAGTGAATTTTATGCAACCACAGTACACATTATTTATATGATTATTTGTATGATGAATATGTGTGCGCGTATGCGTTGAAAAAGAATGGAGCACGTGATAGTTTCATCAAATGAACTTCGTGCAATCGTAGCGTTACTAGCTAATATTATTTGTGATTAATGTTACATGATAAATTTGCATGAGTATTGGTAGTATTTAAATAATATTTAGTATAATATTTTCAATGATTGCGATTATTTCTTACATTAGCCGTGATCACTTTTTATAATTTTGTAAATTAAAAAAAATAATTGCTGTAGCCAGAATTATTATGCATTTATAAAATTATATGCATTTAATTAAAATATATAATAATTTGATACATTATATAATATTCTTTTTTATAATTGATAATGATCATGATATATTTACATTATATTTTGCATTAGCCATTTAATAATATTAA